ATGACTTTGAAAAACTGGCTATGTATCTAAACTACTATTGATGTCGTTCTGAACTATGTTGCTTCCACTACTTTTAAACTTGGTTTGTAATAACTATGTGAACTCCGATTATTATTTGTGAACTGTGATGTAACATGTGACTAGTTATGTTGAATCATGTACGATCTTGGCTTGTATGTTGGTTGAATCAAGATCCTTCATGATACTCAACAGACTACCGGATTTATATGGGCTCAATTGTGATGGTTCGATTGCCTTGGTGGTTGCTATTGTACTTGTGCTCTTATAAATTAGACGGTTCTGTTACATATCGCTTCGTGACGCGATGCGAAGCATTGTGATGCAATAATTGCATATGCGATGTTTGGATGTATGAGAATGGAAGAATGCTCATGCACTGGAAAAGTAAAGTGGGGGTTGGTAAAGTTACCTCCCTAGCTCGAGTGACGGGTTTGGGGAGCTCTTACCAGATATGTCCGAGTAGGGTCCGGGTTCATCGTTCATGATGGAGTCGACATAACCTACATGGGGCATCCCACTGCTCCTTACCCATCTCTCGGCAGCGGCCCGAGCCGTCCGATTGACTTGGGTGACCCGCTGGCCTCTCCCTGATAAAGATTCCGACGGCAGGCCCCTCCTGGAAGGCGAAGGCTAAAGCTCAGGGTACGGGTAAAAAAACTCTGATCATGCTGGTGAGCAAGAATGCCATAGCCACTGGGGCGTAGGTTTCTTGTGGTCCGACCAGTTTGATTCAGCGTTTGTTTCCGCAAACCTTGCTTCTAAGTTTTTAACGTGAGAAAGGGTCAGGCACAGAGAATGTCTACCAAATAGACATATTCTTACCAGCCCCTGAGTGCGTAAACCTTGCTGTTCTTGGGGTAGGGCGTCACTTAGAGATCGTGGAGTCGATAGCGCTGGCACAGGACTTACCTTGATGGCTCGAGTGATGGGTTCGAGGAGCTCTTATCGGATATGTCTGAGTGGAATCCGGGTCCGTCGTTCGTAACGGAGTCGGCATAGCCTGCATGGGGCATCCTACTGCTCCTTACCCGTCTCTCGACAGCGGACCAAGTCGTCCGATCGACTTGGGTGACCCGCTGACATAGGACTTACCTACGGAGATAGAGGATGGGATCATCCCTCCCAAGAAATTAGTTAGGCAGATAAGTCAGGCGGTGAACTTGTAATAAATGGACAAGCTCTTAAATTTTGTTATGGCCAAACAGATTTTTAGCCCTTCTCCCCTTTTTGTATAAAAAGGTTAATGCATTCTGACCTTTTCTATTGTTAAGGCTGTAAAGCTTGGGGTGCGGGAGAACAAACTCTAATCACGCTGGTGAGCAAAAACGTCGTAGCCGCTGGGCCGTAGGTTTCTTGCAGTCCAACCAGTTTTACTCAGCGTTCATTTCTGCAACCCTTGCTTCTAGATCTTAACATGAGAGAGGGTCAAGCATAGAGAATGTTTGCCAGGTCTATATACTCTTAAACGTGTACCGACTCTTTCCATAGTTAAGGCTAAAAAGCTCAGGTTGCGGAAAAAACTCTGATCACGCGGGTGAGCAAAAACGTCGTAGTCGCTGGGGCATAGGTTTTTTGTAGTCCGACCAGTTTTACTCAACGTTTGTTTCCACGACCTTCGCTTCTAGGTCTTAACATGAGAAAGAGTTAGACATAGAGAATGTCTATCGGGTCGGGTGTCACTAAAGATCGGGGAGTTGATAGCGAAACTGATAAGAGAAAGTGTGCGTATATTAAGAGTAAAAGCGACGTAGCTGTTCGATGTTCTAGGGGTTGACGAAGACTTCGCTGTCGATGGTCTTGAGCTTGTAGGTGTCTGGTCAGAGCACATCCACGATGACGTATGGTCCCTCCCGCAGTGGAGAGAGCTCGTGGTGGTTCTTATTGCTATGGATGAGGCAGAGCACCAGGTCCCCAACATTGAAGGCCCGACCCCGCATTCAATGACTGTGGTACCGACGCAACGCTTGCTGGTACGCCTACGGGCATCCAGGGTGTCGCGCGCATCATGGTGGAGGCCGAGACGTTCATGCACTGGGACCGCGGTGCGTGGCTTGCCACCTTGCCGCGCCTAGTGGACTGACACGTCCTTGTCTGGTCACTCTAAGGGCGTGTGCTGGTTGGCATCAAGCTCACATTGTTGGGACAACGAGCTCTCAGCCTGCTGTGACGCCGCACGCTCGAGTAGCGTGCGAATCTTGCAATGGGCCCGACGATCCTCGAGCGTCGTGGGCCCTAGAAGCCCCCAAAGCAAGGCCGCTGCAGCAGTGATGTTCTGGCTTGCTCGGGTGAAGTGTGGGAGGGCTTTATCATCCTCGATGATCCTCTGGTTCACATCATGGGCCACGGCGTGCGCATGCCCGCCATCTCCGTGGCGCTCGATCTCTTGCTCGAGCTTCATGCATTCCTGCTCGAGCTGGAGTTGTGCTTCCTTGAGCTCTTCATGCCAGGCCTTCAGGTGCTCCACCCACAGGCATGGTGGGGCCTCTACATCCCCCTCGACCTTGTCGTCGAGGTCCTTTGTTGGGATAGCCTCTCCCTCATGGATGCTTTCGACGTGTCCCTCGACGTGTCCACCACGACGTGTCCCTGCTGGAGTTAGAGCTGGAGGGCGACTCTGATTCTCCTACATGGAGGTCATGGAAAGATTCTGCGACATATTCGGTCATCCCCATGAACTCATCATTCGTAGGGGATGGGGACGTGCATTGTGCCACAAGGTGACCAACGATCTCTGTGGCGTTGCGTAGACTGAACGGGAGCGCTGTCGGGGCACTCCGGATGAGATATTCCAAAGAGAGCGGCTCTCCTCTAGCAAGCTATGTCATGATGTTGGCGAATGAGAAGGTGAGGTGGCCCAGGTCCTCCTGGGATGATCGGGGTCCCAGGAAGGCGTCGAGCTGGTGCTCTAACCTCCCGTAATTGACATCGAGGGCCTGGTCGCTCCTGGGGGCACGGGCCTCCGGTGCGTGCAGCTGCAGCTCCTCAAGCACCTTGGCGATCGCATCGAGGTCAGCAGGGTTGAGAGGTTGGACGGCGGCAGGAGCCTACGCCAACTCTCCCTCCGTCGTGACAATGAAGTCCAGGTTCCCGAAGCACATGTGCGTGCCTGGGACCCAGCTGACGCCGTGACTAGCCATCCAAGGCCTGATGTAGACGTCGAGATGCGTAAGAGGCCCCTACCTGGATGTCGGTGTTTCGAGTTACCACCGAAGAGTAAATTTCTAGTATTGCGCGTCTAGCTTGGATGGTGTGCTTCGAAGACACGAGGTTTATACTGGTTCGGGCAGAAAGTCCCTATGTCCAGTTCGTCGCTGCTGCTCGTGTTACTAGCACTGAAAGTTTATAGTAGGGGTTATAAATAGGCAAGAGAGGGAAAGGATCCTAAGTCTCTGGTGGCAGAAATGAATAGGAGCTCAGAGCTCTGTCACTGCTCTTGTGTTTCTATCTCGTGGTTCGGTTGTGTGCGGGTCTGGATCAGATCTGGCTCGATGGGTCGATCCCCTTCATGGGGCACCCTGCTTTCCTTTTTATAAGCCAAGAGAAAGCGTGGGTTACAGTGGAGGAAAAGGAGAAGAACAAGCAAGAGGAAGGCTTCCAGGATCATCCGGTCCTTCTCCTTCATGTGGATCCTGCCGATCCTGTGGATGTCAATAGGGACGGCTCCACATCGTGGCCCTATTCATCACTGGCACCATGCGCAGGCGTCATTTGCCGGTTATGGCGTCCCATTCCGTCTCGACGGGCGTCATGGTGAACTGACGCGCCTATCAGCGTTCGTAGGAGGGTTAGGGAGAACAACACCGGCACATCCGACGCAGTTCTTGATATGAATCCTCATGTATGGCCCATCATGGCCACGGGTTACATCAAGGCATGCCGGTCTCTTCCTTAGTGTCATAGTTTTGACCCAGGCCCATACGCTTGGACCTAAAGTGGCTGGCGACGGTATGGGTCCCTGTCGGGCGAGACGGATCCCACATCCAAGGGGTCGGGCGAGATGGAGCCCGCACCCGAGGGGTTGGGCGAGGCGGAGCCTACGGCCTTGAGGTCGGGCGAGGCGGGACCCCCAACCTAGAGGTCGGGCGAGGCGGAGCCCGCGCACCTGGGGGTCGGTTGGAGCTGTAGTCACGCTCTTGACTGCTCGGATGAATCAATGTTGATGACCATTAGCTCCTCTTCTTCGGGTACCCTAGCATTTGTCTCCGACAAAACCCTTGTGTCCTCCGAGCACACCATCCGAGCCAAACGCGCAAATATAAATTTACTCATCGGAGGTCCAAAAACACCGATAGATTTGATCCTAACCCAATCCACTACTCAACTTTATGTCCTGATCCAACTTGTGGCTGTTGACCATAGGCCCTGTTTGGTAGAGCTCCCAGAGCTTATTCTCTGCCGAATTTAGTAGGACCTCTATCAAACAGTTTTTTTATAGAGAAGTGATTCTCTGCTGATTTCATGAAGTGGTTCTCTGAAATGAACTAAGAGGCTGAGAGCTAAAAAGAGTAGCTTCTCCTAGTTCTGTGAAGTGATTCTCAACGTAATTTTGAGAGTTTATGGTAAAAAAATTAAAAAAATCACTTTGAGTCACAGAGTAACTTCTATTTGAGAATCAACTTCGATGGAGAATCAGAAAGAGGTCTGCCAAAATTACCCTTAAAATCCTAGTTCGATCCTCATCCTATTCAGATCCTAGGGCTAATACTTTTGAAAAAAAAAAAAGATTTCCTAACCGATGTTCGGTTGTTTCTCACGAACCCAGCAACCGAATTTTCCACACCACCAAAGCCTCCGTCAGTCTGTCTGCCCCCACGCCGCCACCAAGACCGTCGCCAGCAGCTCCTCCCACGCCACCGAAACCGCCGCCAGCACCTCCACCTCACGCTGCCATAGCCGAAAAACCCTAGCCCAACTCTCCCTTCCCTCGCCCATCCCACTCCTTTCATCCGATTCGAGGAGGCCAACAGAGGGGCTAGGGCATGGCGACCGATGTGCAGCTCAGGGAGTGGGTCTCCGACAAGCTCATGAGCCTCTTGGGCTACTCCAAGAACGTCGTCGTCCAGTACGTCATCAGGCTTACGAAGGAGTCCTCTTCAATGGGTGACCTCGTGGGCAAGCTCGTCGAGTTTAGGTTCACCTCATCTGTGGAGACCCATGCCTTCGCATCGGATGTCTATGCCAAGGTTCCCCACAGGGCCAGCGGCATCAGTAATTACTAGAAGCAGGAAAGGGAGGCAGCAAAGCTTGTCCAAAAACAGAGCACTTACAAGCTGTCGGCCAACGAGGATGACAATACGATAACCGAGACACCAACAAGTCAAAAGACCTCAACAAATCCATCATCTAAGAGTCGGAAGCATTTCAGAGGAAAGCAAATCAAGACAAAGGTTGATGATGAAATAGTGGCAAAAGATTCTCGAAGGAATGTCCGTTAGCGAAAAGTAAGAGGAGGATGAAGAAGGTGGCGGCGGCGAGCCTGATGAAGAGAAAGAAAGGATTAGAGATCAGCAGGAAAAGGCCCAAATAGAAAGGAACATGAGAGAAAGAGATGCGGCTAACACAAGGAAGTTGATGGAGCGACAATTATCTAAGGAAGAACAAGAAGAGCTTACTAGAAGATCTCAAGCAATGGACAAGAATGACACATCCGGTCTAAGAAAATTCTCAAGGCAAGCATACCGCAAAAGCGACAGGACAAAAAAATTGAGGAAATTCATGATGAAATTCTAGACCACCAAAGACATTTTTCGTGGTGTGAAACTAACAGAGGCGTAAGAAAAGGACTTGAGATACAAGATGAAGATATATGATCGTGTCAAGGAATATGTTGAGACTCCTGATGATGTTGGTGAGTACAAAATGCCCAAAGCTTATGACATGGATGAAAATGTCAATCAAGAGAAGAGATTCTCTGTGGCCATGCAAAGATACAAAGATCCCGAGGCCAAGGATAAAATGAACCCTTTTGCTTGACAGAAGCATGGGAAGAACACCAAATAGGAAAGTCAAAACTGCAATTTGGATCCAAAGATAAGAAGCCGTCTTCGATGAGTATCAGTATGTATTTGAAGATACGATTGATTTTGTTAAATCATCAGTCATAGAAGGAACCCAGCCTGAAGACGATTCAGATAAAGAGGACATTCAAGCAAAAGATATTTTGAAAAGGGAGCTCCAGGATGAGCGAAAGACACTTCCAATTTTCAAATTTAGGGATGGACTGCTTAAGGTTGTAGAAGAGTATCAGGTTATCGTCATAGTGGGTGAGACTGGGTCTAGTAAAACAACACAAATACCTTAGTACCTTCATGAGGCTGGGTGTACTACGAAAGGAAAGGTTGCATGTACTCAACCTTGTCGAGTGGCTGCCATGAGTGTTGTGATGGGATAAGTCTCTGTGATGACTAGTCTTTGTGGGGCTGCAGCATATGGTCTTTGTGGCTGCATGATGGTCTTGCTGCCCATCAAGGACAGCATCAAGGATAGCATCCTTGACTGGCTAGGACAGCATCTTAGCATCTAGGACAGCATCTGTTTTAGGACAGCATCTTAGCATCTAGCATCTTGGCATATGCTTGGCTAGCAGCCTATAAATATGTATCCCCAACCCCTCAGGTTGGTATGGCATTTCTATGAGAAATAAACCAGAAAATTGCCCCAACTCCTAGTGTCATCCTCTCTCGATAAGAGTAAGAATTCTGCTACTACCAAGAGTAAGAATTCTATGACTAACAACTAGTATCAGAGCAGGAGCCTGAGCATCTCCTGCTTATCTCCTTTCCCAGCCTCGCAACAGCCCCAGCTGAGAGCAGTAGCTCCGGCCACTCCTACTCACTCCTCTCCCTCTGCGCAGCTCGTCTGAAGCATCCCTGTTCCCATGCAGTAGCCCCCCGGTAGCGCGTCATGTCCACAGGGTCGCCTCGAGCACGCGGCGTCAGTAGGAGGTCGAACTTGCCGCGGTAGAGGAACGCGAGCGAGCGGCGGCAGCAAATGCGTCGAGGCTGGCAGCGGCGGAGCTGGAAGCAGCTAGAGCGGAGGCGGAAGCGGCGGTGGCAACGGATGCACCGGTGGCTCCATTTCTGCTGACGACAGCGCCGACATGGACCTCGAGCTGCTGGGGAGGGAGGCAGCGCGAGTGTGGGCGGCGCAGTGGGCAGCCGCGCATGCCCACGAGCCCGGCAGCAGCCCAGACAGGCGCGGATGCACCGGCGGCTCTCCTGGAGGAGGCGCGCACGGCGGTGGCGCTCCTGGAGGAGGCGCACATGGCGACGGTGGTGGACGAGTCGATGGAGAGCGTGGCCTTCACAGACAGCGTGGCTCTCTCTCCCTGGATCGGTACCGTGGTTACCACGGGCTCCAGGCTGTTGTCAGGGACGTCGGCCCCGGCAGTGGCTGGCCTACCCTCACTAAGACTAACTACGTCGAGTGGGCTGCGGTGATGAGGGTAAAGCTCTAGGTGTGGCACATGTGGGAGGTAGTCCGGTACGGTGACATTGACTACGACCAGGATCGACGGGTGTTGGATGCCCTCATCGCTGCAGTCCCGTCTGAGATGTAGTTCTCGCTTACCAACAAGCGGACTGCCAAGGAGGCTTGGGACACCATTGCCGTGGCACGCATCGGCAGTGCCCGCGCCCGCAAGTCCACACTGCAGGCACTTCGCAAGGAGTGGGAGAACCTAGCCTTCAAGCCAAGTGAGGATGTTGATGACTTTGCTCTCTATCTCAACACTCTATTGCAGAAGATGGTGCAGTTCGGCGATGACACCTATGGCGAGGAGAGAGCTATCGAAAAGCCCTTCCGTGATGTCTCTGCTGATGGCTCGCTCAATCGAGTCTCTACAGTTCGGCGATGACACCACGAGCACAAGCAGATGGCTCGCTCAATCGAGTCTCTACTGGATCTCTCCACGATGTCGATCGAGGAGGCGATAGGTCGCCTCAAGGTCGTCGACAGCGATGAGCCACAGTCTCTCTCGGGTCTCATCACCACTGGCGGGAAGCTCCTCACTCGGGAGCAGTGGGTTGCCTGCCAAGGTGACTAGAAGAAGGGGGAGCCTTCTTCCGCGATAGGCGGCCGCAAGCGTGGCAAGCCGCGCAAGGTGCGTAGAGACGCCTAGGCCGGGGCGCGAGGACGTGCCGAGGGTGATGCCCGAGGAGACGCCCAGGGTGGCGCCGCCGACAAGCACAAGCCGGCACGAGACGACACCTACCGCAACTGTGGACAGCTTGGCCATTGGGCCAAGGACTATCGACAGCCACGACGCGGTCAGGCCCACGTCGCACAGGTGGAGGAGGAGGAGCCAGCTCTGTTCATGGCACATGCAAGCATCGAGCTACCTCTAGCGGCACCGGCCGCAGCGGCTCTCCTCCACCTTAACGAGCCAAAAGCACATGTCCTCCTCGGCGATGGCTCCGGCAACGACAAGACTAACGGGTGGTGCCTCAACACTGGTGCCACCCATCACATGACTGGTCGACGGGAGTTCTTCACCGAGCTTGACTGTAGCGTCCGAGGCTCCATCAAGTTTGGGGATGCCTTCGGCGTGGAGATCAAGGGCGTCGGCTCCGTTATCTTCACCGTCGTGTTTGGTGAGCACAGGCTGCTCACCGAAGTCTACTACATCCCCGTGTTGAGGAACTCTATCATCAGCTTGGGACAGCTGGATGAGAACGGTTCGCACGTGGTGGTTGAGGATGGAGTCATGAGGATTTGGGATCGTCGTCATCGCCTTCTTGCCAAGGTAACCAGAAGCACAAATCGACTCTACGCCCTTAACGTGCAGATGGCACAACCCCTCTGTCTTGCTGCTCATCGGGATGATGAGGCGTGGCAGTGGCACAAGCGCTTCGGGCACCTTCACTTCGAGGCCCTGAAGCGGCTCAATGCCACGGAGATGGTGCGAGGCTTGCCGTGCCTCGACCATGTGGAGCAGCTCTACAATGTCTACGTGTTGACGAAGCAGAGGCAACTCCCCTTTCCCTAGCAGGCGAGCTTTTAAGCCAAGGAGAGGCTCGAGCTTGTGCATGGGGACTTGTGTGGCCTGGTGACACCGGCCACACCGAGAGGACGACGCTACTTCCTGCTGCTTGTCGATGACCTCTCCCGCTACATGTGGGTGATGGTCCTTGGTAGCAAGGGAGAGGCTGCGGACGCCATCAGGCGCGCGTAGGCTGCTACGGAGGCGGAGTGCGGCCGCAAGCTGCGCGTGCTGCACACTAACAACGGCGGTGAATTCACGGCAGCTGAATTCGCGTCGTACTACGCTGATAAGGGCATTCAGCGCCACTACTCCATGCCGTACAACCCGCAGCAGAACGGCGTCGTCGAGCGGCGCAACCAGATGGTTGTGGGGATGGCTCGAGCCCTTCTCAAGCAGAGGGGGATGCCGGCTATCTTCATCAGCTATGCGAAGGGCTCGAAGGCCTACCGCAACCTCGAACCGAAGACATAGCGTCTGCACACGGTGCGTGACGTTGCGTTCAACGAAGGGTGAAGATGGGCGTGGGACAAGGCGGTGGACGACGGTTCGGCTCTAACGTACGATGACTTCACTGTTGAGTACGTCCACTTCAAGGGAGTGGGGGAGTAGGCAGCTCTTCTTCGACGAGCGCGTCTACCCCAGTCCCCGAGCCTCCACCGACCCCGGCGCCTGCTACTCCGACAGCACCATGCTCTCCAACCAGGACCTCGGCTGCGATGAGTTCTTCGTCGGCTCCACCACAGCCGGCACCGCCACGCACTCTAGCACCAACAGGCACCTCTCCGGGCACATCTACTCCAACACCAGCTTGTGTCGAGCACAGCCCGATTGAGCTCGCTACTCCGCTCCCTCGCGACGAGGAGTGCATCGACACGTACCACGACGGTGAGCCATTACGGTACCGTACGATGGAGAACCTTCTCGGTGACCAGCCGGTGCCGGGACTAGTGCCTCACGACCTGGAGGCGTAGTTGCACCTTGCGTGTGACGACGGCGAGCCTCGGTCATTTGTAGAGGCCAAGAGACACGCAGCATGGCATGCCAGGATGCAGTTGGAGATGGATACGGTTGAGAAGAACTGCACCTGGGAGCTTGCTGACCTTCCTCGTGGTCACCGCATGATCACCCTTAAGTGGGTGTACAAGCTGAAGAGGGATGAAGCCGGCGCCATCGTCAAGCACAAGGCTCGCTTGGTGGCATGAGGTTTCGTGCAGCAGGAGGGGGTCGACTTCGACG